CTACATTTGTATGCTAACGTTTTCACCGCATTTATTATACAATCTATATATATATTTGAGACTGTCGTTTGTCTGTCAGTCTGTCTGTCTGTCTGTTTGTTCGGGGTTGGCGGCTCCATTAGGTCTGCCCCGAGTCTGAAATTTGGGTTATAGGGGTAGCTCGGACCGGGGAGTAACATAGGCCAAGTGGTGTTAGTCTACCACTTCCGGTTTCGGAGTTATGACCCCCGAGCGAAGCCCGTCTGTTCGGGGTTGGCGGCTACACTAGGTCTGTCCCAGTCTGAAATTTGGGGTATAGGGGTAGCTCGGACCGGGGAATAACATAGGCCAGGTGGCGTTAGTCTACCACTTCCGGTTTCGGAGTTATAACCCCCGAGCGAAGTCTGTCTGTTCGGGGTTGACGGCTACATCTGCCCCGAGTCTGAAATTTGGGGTATCCGGGTAGCTCGGACCGGGGAGTAACATAGGCCAGGTGGCGTTAGTCTACCACTTCCGGTTTCGGAGTTATGGCCCCCGAGCGAAGCCGGTCTGTTCGGGGTTGGCGGCTACACAAGGTCTGCCCCGACTCTCAAATTTGGGGTATAGGGGTAGCTCGGACCGGGGAGTAACATAGGCCAGGTGGCGTTAGTCTACCACTTCCGGTTTCGGAGTTATGACCCCCGAGCGAAGCCGGTCTATTCGGGGTTGACGGCTACACTAGGGCTGCCCCGAGTCTGAAATTTAGGGTATAGGGGTAGCTCGGACCGGGGAGTAATATAGACTAGGTGGCGTTAGTCTACCACTTCCGGTTTTGGAGTTATGACCCCCGAGCGAAGTCTGTCTGTTCGGGGTTGGCGGCTACATCTTCCCCGAGTCTGACATTTGGGGTATAGGGGTAGCTCGGACCGGGAAGTAATCTACCACTTCCGGTTTCGGAGTTATGACCCCCGAGCGAAGCCGGCCTGTTCGGGGTTGGCGGCTACACTAGGTCTGCCCCGAGTCTGAAATTTGGGGTATAGGGGTAGCTCGGACCGGGGAGTAACATAGGCCAGATGGCGTTAGGCTACCCCTTCCGGTTTCGGAGTTATGACCCCCGGGAGAAGTCTGTCCATTCGGGGTTCGCGGCTACACCAGGGCTGCCCCGAGTCTGAAATTTGGGGTATAGGGGGAGCTCGGACCGGGGAGTAACATAGGCCAGGTGGCGTTAGTCTACCACTTCCGGTTTCGGAATTATGATAACCGAGCGAAGCCGGTCTGTTCAGGGTTGGCGGCTACACTAGGTCTTCCCCGAGTCTGAAATTTGGGGTATAGGGGTAGCTCGGACTGGGGAGTAACATAGGCCAGGTGGCGTTAGTCTACCACTTCCGGTTTCGGAGTTATGACCCCCGAGCGAAGCCGGCCTGTTCGGGGCTGGCGGCTACACTAGGTCTGCCCCGAGTCTGAAATTTGGGGTATAGGGTAGCTCGGACCGGGGAGTAACATAGGCCAGGTGGCCTATCGTTTAATTGACAGGCGTTAACTCCACCTACATAATCTTTGTTGTCTTTTGCCTGCTGTCATCATATCCGAATTTGTGTTTTACCTTTTTGGATTTTTATAACAATTGAACAAAATGAGTGAGAGGGTAAATTTTCATTCTTACTTGTATTTTGGGCATGCATTAAATCAATTGAATATAGGACATAATATTATAATACAATTATGATAAATCTATAGGTATACACCAGTGGCGTCGTGCCTATTGGGGAAATAAAAATATTTTTATTGATATTATTAAGACAGAAGACCTGTCCGTCTGTATTAGTCATCACACGGTCTCCAGGAATTGTATAATTTGTCATTATGTTTGTTTAGTTTATTGCACTTTAAATAGTTTAGATGTCATTAATTGTTAAGGCATCGCTCAACAGCGGCCTCGCTTGGTACACTCTATCATTTAGCCTCGATCCGGGAGTACGACGTCAACGTAACGGTTAATCTCCGCTCACGACGCCATTTAAAATTAAATCAGTCAACGAAATCCCGTTTAAATCCAAGCTGAATCCAAGCCACCCGTGGGTCTACAGAGTTGATTTTGTGCTTGTTGTGTAAATAAAGATCTAATTTATAATTTCTATGACATCTAAAGCCTAAATAAAGACTTGCAATAATCAGATTTAGCTCTTGCATAATGTATGTTTAAGTCTATATAAAGAAAAAACACTAAATTTGCCCCCACCACATACTTCAAGATGCCCACTGAGCGGGATCATCCTGTATTTTGGTTGAAGTATATGCTGACAAGCAGTAGGGTGGCTTTAACAATCTCGTGGATTCTCCCCGGGTTCCTTCGTTTTCCTCCAACTGCTAAAGATCCCTACGCACAGGGGATTTATTGATATAAAAATTGCACGATATTTTAACATAGTATGTTTCGAGTGGATGTTAAACCCCATTTATCTCTCATTGTACCGAACGGCCTGTGCTTTAAATGAAACTTTACATGTATACATTTCATTTTATCCTTTTGATGTCTTATTTAGAGAGATATGGTTTGGTATTTTATCTTTTCAACAGGTATAAATATTTCAAAAAAAATTACGAATACAGCCCATGCACCCGATTAGATTTTATTACATACTTCGAGAAGGTATTTGTTGAGTAATAAAACCTTCTAGTAGTTTATCGAGGGCTGGCCGTCTTTACCGCAGGGTACAAATAAAACCTTCTAGTAGTTTACCGAGGTTCGGGTGCTTCCGGAGTCCAAAATGGCCGCTTTATATAAATGAGAATTTTGGGGATAGCTAACCCGAACCCTAACCCTAACCCTTTTTAAAAGACTGAACTTGGGTCTAATTTAGTTTTTACTTCTCTTAAAAGGGTTAGGGTTAGGGTTCTGGTTAGTATTCCCCTAAATACTCATTTGTATAAAGCGGCCATTTTGGTATGAGTTCTGGCTTGTTCTGGAATTTGTTGCTTCTAGTGGTGATAATAATTGTACCGTGCGGTAAGTACGGCCAGCCCTCGATAAACTACTAGAAGGTTTTATTACTCAACAAATACCTTCTCGAAGTATGTAATAAAATCTAATCGGGTAGCCCATAAGACATAACACTGATTAGTGTCACTACTTTACCTTTTTGGATAATTCCTTTATCATCTTTCTAAAACATTGTATTTAATTAAATCACAAAAAAATACAAAGGCTGGGTGGTAGAAGTGAGGGTGATTAGATTAATTCAATTAACAAACTAATGACATCATATTAAATCTGGTTTTACTTATGATATGGCCATGCTGTCTAAATTTGTTGCCTGACATTATAGTAGATCAGTGGCGTATGTTTTCCTACTAGTTGTATCACTATACCACCAGACCATTCACCTTACATGATTTTCTAAATTATACATTTTCAACGGGAAAGCAGTCCTGAAAATATGTTCATGGAAACTCCTAATAGAAGATTGGGCACATATTCGTGTCTAATTGTTTCTTCGATCCCGGTGTTAATCGAGAAAGTTCCTCTAGATTTTACAGTATGGTCTCCTCCTATCAATGGTTAAGACAACCAGGTCTCGCGTACAAATTGGCTTTTACTTGAAGGATCCCTTGGAAGTTCGAATTCGAAGAAGAGTAGGCGGAAACGTTGCTTTCTTGGCAAAACTTCCCCACATCATTACTGCATGCTGTATGCTCAACCCGATTCAATTTTCATTTCATTTCATTTGGTATACAGCATAGCTATCAATCAGTGTTATTTTTTTTATTTATTTATTTTTTTAACGCATCGTCAGAATAAGGCAGTCTGGTGGAGTAAAAAAAACAAATACTTGAAATAATACATTTTACAGCTCTTGTTTGTGTGTGTTCATACTTTGATGTGAGATGAAATTACACAACAACATATGTAATAATAAGGTAAGACATGACCAGAAAAATGTATTAATGAAGTTTTAGTTTACAAACATTAACGACATGGTGTATAACTCTGGATTAACATCACCAAGTACATCAACCTTTTATTTTACTCAATAATCTGTAAGATTACTTGAACCTTACGAAGTCATGCAGTGAGTGATGAAAACGTCTTTTAACCTGTTACCTACACTACACGAAATAGTTCTAGTTAAAGGGAGGGCTTCCTCGAAATTTGATGATACCATCTTAAATATCGGTTAATAATTGCACGTATTATTATTAAGAAGTTCTATTAGATGTTAGGGGTAAGCATACACTGTTTTAAAGTTCGGATGGCTCTATTTTTGGAACCTTAAAATATACGAAAATGGTTCTTAAAGCACATATTAATGTACTATGAATGTATATAAAGTGATTTATATTCAATTTTACCCCTGATTAGTTTTATCGTTCTTCTACATTGTCTTGTTGTTCATTACAAATGGCACCCAAAACCGTAGAATACACGAATCTTGTACTGACTTTAACATGTTCATTATATCATAAATATTGGATATTAGGATCCCATATTTTCACGGCAAGATAAAAACATCAATATTGATTGAAGTGGACCAATATTGAATTTTAAATCGTGTTTTTCATTTCGAACCTTTTCGAAAATACTCAGTTATAGGTTTAGCTCCTTTAAGTCACAAATTTCGTTGCAAGTAAACGAAACAATAGCTGGATTTAGATAACATTAATATTTAAACAGATCTCATAAGATTTTTTTCATCGTTCAAAATCTTTTATTAGTGGATTTATATATTTCACATTGAGTTTACCGATTTCTGAATACTGTACATTTTAATAAATTCACGAAATTATGAAGTTTATACCACTTTAATGTTGGAAGAATTACCCCCTCCCCCATATGAATATAATAGTACATGTTAATGGTGTCTGTTGGAGTCATTATTGTCTACTACGTAAGCCATTCTGTTCTCAGATAACATCAAGTGGGAAATAATTAAAGCCACTAACTCGAGTATAAATATCTTATAACTCAGGTATAAATATCTTATATACAGTATTACACTTTAACCTCTTGCCAGATATATACTGAAATATTGGATACATACACACATGCGTACTCGGAGTACTATGTGTACATTGACTTGTGGCTGCTACCTTGTTATGTCCCAACATTGTGCATGGATAATTGGTAAATACAGGAGGTGAGAATTTGTCTTCACATTTAGAAGTAAGTGTTTATTTAAATGTTGAAGAATGTTTATATTTCTATCCACTTGTACGATAATTTATTGGGGCTTTTTTTTTAAAAAAAAAAGAATAATACTTTTATTAATTTGTTTCCTTAATGTTTTGTTAAACTTTCCACTCGTGTAGTTTACGAAAAAAATGTTATTATGGCTGCGATATTTGCATTGATTATCTATGCTGTGCATTGTTTTCATTCTTGTGCAACATCCAATTAGTGAAACAGCTCCATCTTTATATTAAAACGTATTAAGAATTTGAAAAAAAAAATGTTTTTGAATTTAGATTAATCTCTTAAACACGAATATAATTATTTGTCTAATACCGGTAGATGAAATCAAATTCATTTGTCGCACTCGTGCATGTATAATAGGAAGAAATCGGTTCAGGATTTCATTTCCGCCGTATGATAGGCTTGCTTTTTCGTTACTGTTCGTACGCCCTGAGATTGTTACAAGAACTAAAGTTAATGACTTTATGATGAAGTGTCTATGGTCTGTGATCACATTTGGTCAACAGAGTTCAATCTCTATTTAATCTGTCTCGTAGTCATCATAACAATCAGTGTACCGATTATAGAAATAAGTTATAGAAACATTCCGTGACCATAGATAACGGTACAACTTTACTACAACAATAATAGTACTCATAAAGATAGGGTCTGAAAGATAAAATTATTAACGGTTAAAGTGGCGAAACATATTGCTGCCCAGTGCTACAATATTACAACAGATACAGCTATATATTAGTTTAATTTCAGTCCGATTGAATACGGATCTACATTTCGAGTTTTTTTTATACTTTCGAAAAAACTAACATTTAAAATAAAAAAAAGTAGGATTAGTGGAATCTGATTAAAACACAGAACAAATTTCGTTTCGATTTGTATAGTTTAAAATTTCAAATCTACTTGTCTTTACTATACTAGAATCTGGAAGAGTTGTTATATAACGGCAAGTTCTTGGTGTGAGCTGCACGGGGCTGTGGGTAACCCACTAGAAACATCAACGCTGATTGGTTAATCAAATGCCTGATGTCATAGGGTCAAAAGCCGCTCGTATGACCTCCGGCGCGACCTTTCACTACAACCGGTCAGATCTTCATGTAGTAGGGTCCATCCAAAGTATAAAAAAACGAAACGAAATAAAGATATGTATTTTAATCAGATTGGGATTAATGCTGAATGCAAAACAATTATAATGTCTTAAAGAATATTTCAGTGATCTAGTCGAAGGGGAGTCTTACCCAAAATGTGTTAACCCGTAGAAATGGAAACCTTGAACAAAGGGGTTAAGGGTATAGGGTTGCCATATTGTTTTATGATTCAGAAAAAAATATAGCTAATATACATCTGTAACTTTGTTAAAGCTTCGTATTTGATTTATGTTCGCTTTATGAAAGAGTTAATAATCTTGCCGCTTATTAATCTTTCTGCTTTCCACTTATACCAACAATAATATTGGTGTTTCACATTCTCTTATTCTAACATATGCCCTTCCTTGTTTTCTTTTGGCTGATATTTATTGTTACATGTGTAACGCGAAGCTTTCATTGTGCTTAGAATAAACTCTTACATGTGATAAGCGTTTTGTAGATACATGTTCTACCATCTTATATTACGCAAGCTGCATAAATATCATGAAACGCACACTGATAAGATGTACAACATTTAGAATAATTATGATGTCTTCAGCTGAAAAACTGACAATTACTCATCTTGAAAGTATCATTCTTTCTTCACACATCTTAGAAGCTTTGATTTGGGATTTGATCACTCTTTTGCTTGCATACAAGGATTCACAATTATCTGGTGATTTTTTTAATTTTAACAGCTTGCTCAGATCTCTAAAACAAAGGGTCTAATGATTTTGAACTATTGCGAAACTTATTTCCATAGTAAGATGACGTCAACACACAAAAGAACTGTGGTTTTACTAGATTATGGAATTCGAAAAAAGACAATTATCATTAAAGACAAATATAGTCCGAGCTATTTTTAGACAAATGTTTCCTTCCCCTGCATATGTCCTCCATAATTCGATCAAGAGTGCTTGAGAAGGATTTGCAACGTTATTGTAGGAATGAAATGAAATGAATTGGGGCTAAACGCCTACTGTTCTGTTCCGACTGGACTAATGAAGACGGTGTCTGCATCAGAGATAGTTTGATGTTATGAGTTTACAACTTTTAATATAGAGGCTTAATAGACGTATGCATTTGAAACTAACAGTAATTACACGTGAGAAGGTACACAGACTATTTTGCTTACCTTTTTATTTTTAAAAAAAATCAAGATAAGGATATAGTTCACAGATATCTGGCACTCAATCTTGTCAAAGTTTTTATAGAAAGTACAGATCTAGTTAGAGCTCTATCTAGTTTCACCTGCGCAACATGTTGGGTGTTTTTACCCCAGTCTTGGCAGCCTGTATTCTGCTTTTGCCGTTTTCGTTTTTCCTCACACCTACATTTTGGCAAACGCTGATGTCAGAAAACCATGGTGGTAATTGTGTCTACAGTGAGAGAAGTTCTCCGATTTAAAAAATAAAGTGAACAATGTAACGATTAGGTTATATATATATATATTAAAGATGCTTTTCTTCACCCATCCTCTTCATTTAACCCTGGTCTGTCGTCAGGAGACAAGAGTTTGGGTTTGTGATTTTTAAATGTACAGTGTATATTTGAGATGCTAAACGGCAAAGTCTTGCATAACTAAAATTGTATAAACTCGTTTGTTTCAGATGCGGTAATCAGCAGTTATCAAGCGTTTTAACCCTTTTCGCTAGACCTTTTTAGTTTTTGATTTTACCCAGTTAACAAATAAACTTAACGTCTCGCATCCCGATGTTACATTTTATTAGGTTTACTTTTATTCTTTTAACGAACCGTGTTAACATTTACTGTGGTTATTTGTACTGCAGACTTCCATTCTCGTTACAAATGGATATTTTTTATGTCATCAATTCTGAAAGATCTCCATTTGCTTCCAGTCCGTCAACGCAACAACTTTAAAATACTGTATATTACACATTCTGCTCTGTATGACGATTCTTCAACTCAATACCTCAGAGACCTTCTAAACACTAATATGCTTTCCAGAATCCTTCGATCACAATCAGACAATCTCTTAAGCCTTTTTCAAATACTAACTCCGTAGATACATCCTTCGAAATGAGTGCTCCAAATTTATGGAATTCGATATCAAACGAAACCAAAAGCACAAATTTTATAAGAGTTTTTAAAATGTATCTTTAAACTGGTTCAATACGGTTCTAGCTGTGTTTGTGTCAGACTTTTGTCACACGTGTATTAAATCATGTTTCAGTGATTTTAATGGTTATATCGTTTAACTGATTAATGTTTATCATTGTTGTAATTTTATTTATTTTTAAAGTTGTACTCATGTAAAAACAAAGCACCCGAGAGCAGTTCGCAGAATTGATGTGTCGGCCCTAAATAAATTGCTTGTTATTATATATTTATTACTAATTACCAAAAAACACTGCAGACTTCCTGCAGCTACAATTTATGTTTTGTGGGTTGACGCCCGCTGTAATAGGTAGATCATGGTGTGAGTAGGAAATCTCTAATCAAACTAATTGATTTGGCTATAAAAGGTAGTCGGTGTCAATTGACAGTAATCAGCATTACCTTGAAAAAGTATATTATAAAGGTTACACCTTATGACATTATCTTCTTGGCATGTGTATAGATCGATGGTTGACAAATTATATAACAGGGTTCGGATTCGGTCTCAAAGAGGGTTGTCTTACAGTTGTATTACTCTCAGGGTTCGGCGTATGATTGTTTTAAAACCAAAAATGGGCAATGCATAATGACGACGCCAATCACATTAAATATTTAAAATTAATGATACTTTCCACGTATTTTTAAATTTGAAATAGAGTAATATTGCTCGACTGTAACTCAAGATATGCTGTTTTCTGAAATACTTATAATTCGATATAGCTTCAGACAACGATTATGGTGGTGAGAAATCGGAGGCCATAGGAATTTACTTTTTAAAGATATAATGAAAAACTGCAAATTCTTATAGACATTTGTCTAAAACTCACTTTAAGCTAACCAATAATAAATGAATACAGTTCATCTGAATGTATAGAACATCATTTTATTGTATCTGACAATGATATTAGTATTTGGAAATCAACTTCAACCTGTTGTGTAACTCTAATAAAACCACGTCAATTGTAGACACAGTTTGATTATCGCGAACGTGTTTTCTTTAAAACTTCATTTTGTTAGAAATTCGACAGAAACGGGACTCTCTGAACGACTTCAAAATCTGTCAAATTACAGTCCAATTTTCTTAGAAATAAACATTTCTGAAAAGAGAAAAGGAACTGGATGCAAATTGAATAAGCAAATGTCATAAAGGCATTCTATGCACCACTGTACGAACTTGGTCACAAGGGCAACAATACAAACATAACAAATCAGGTTTATTTGATTAAATAAGATTCATACGCCAGGGTGTTATTTAAATAAACATAATATACGTCTAATCCAGTCACACTGTATTCATGAATAAATATTGTGTTGTTTATTGATATTTTTTGGATAAATATATCAACATTGCATACCTACCTATAAACATAACACGGGTACTTAGATTAAGAAGAGAAACGCATTAAATTACCAAATGTTACGCAGATGTATTCAAAAAAAGTTGTTTTGATATAGTTTAAGGATACTGTGATTTCATTAGACAGTTGTTAATGTATTTGGTAAGGTATTAATTCTGTGTAGTTTAATGGCCGAGAGTAAGACATTAAGTAATATATTGATACTGCACGAGGACGTTAGTCCGAGTGTTGTTTCAATATATTACACAATTTCTTGCTCGAGATCATTAAATAACTTAAAATACATACATTATTCCGCGCCTGCTTTTCCAATCGTATAGCGAGCCCAATAGTTCATCTATACTTTGAAATGATGTACAATTGGCACGGTGTC